AAAACCTTGAGAAAAATCTTCCTGAGTTTGCAGTAAGCCCCTGTGAAAGTCAGGAGGAAAGGGGCTGCCCCGGGTCAGGCTGCAGGAGATGCCCCCTCTAAGCATCTCCAGGTCATAATCCCTTTTGTCTGCATTTATCACTATGACTGACCTTGGTCTCCCTGCAATCTTCTAGAAGATGGTGTGCCATGGGGAGCACACATACCTGTTTGCACAGGCCATGATGTCCGTGCTGGCCCAGGAGGAACAGGGTGGCTCTGCAGTGCGCAGGGTCGCTCAGGAAGTCCAGCGCTTCGCCCAGGAGAAGTAAGATGTGCTTCTGCGTGCCCTGCTCTTCCTTCTTCCTCAGAAAGACTGTGGTCCTAGTCCGCCACGGCTCAGGCTCCAGCTCAGTCAGTTCTAGTCAGTTCTTAGCCGTGCAGCTGAAGTCAGTGTAGCTTCTGGTGCTCCGGCCTAGCAGAGTGCTGTGCTGATGGCCCTTTGCTCCAGACGTGGTTGCTCTGCTTGGTTGGGTGTGCACTTGTACTTGCGTGTGCTAGGAGACCTCGGCAGCAGACTAGCCCTGGCCTGATCTCCAGTGCCCTGCTTGTTCACGGAGTCCACGGCGCTTCATTTCCTGCTGCCGAGTCTTTCCTAATGAGGTGTGCAGGGTGTGTGGTATGCAGGGTGTGTGAATCCCCGTGGAGGTTACAGCTGCATCCAAGTCTCTCGCAGCTCACTGTAGCTGTTGGTCCCAGGGGTCAGTCAGTCAAAAGGCGAGTGACCGAACTGTGGGAAAGCACAGGGTTCCTGCCCGCTCAGCATTGAACATTTAAAAGTGAAAGGAAAGAGAAAGCTCTTAGTGATGGTGTGTGTGTGCCTTTCCAACCAGAGGCCACGATGCCAGTCAGATCACGTTGGCCTTGGGCACAGCTGCCTCCTACCCTCGGGCCTGCCAAGCTCTCGGCGCCATGCTGTCCAGAGGAGCCCTGAATCCTGCAGATATCACAGTCTTGTTCAAGATGTTCACCAGCATGGACCCTCCTCCTGTGGAGCTCGTAAGCTGCCTACACTTCAGTGAGGCCAGGCACCCCACATCAGGTGTCGGGTGGTTTGGGGAGGCCTCTGAGTTCCCTTCATTCTCTTAAGGCCTTGCTTGCTGGTCCCAGTGAAAACGGTTTTTATTGATGTCGTTAGAGACGAGGTCTCACTCTGGCCCAAGCTGGCCTCACACTGGGCCAGCTATCTTGCCCTAGCTTCCCTGAGTGCTGGGTGTTATAGGTATGGCTACACCTGGCATAAGCCCTCCTCCCAACCTCTCTGGCACTACTGGAATTGAAGCCAGGGCCTGTCTCGCTCCGGGCACATCCTATGCCATGGGACTCTGAGTTTCCATCCTTCCCTCAGCCTCACCCTATCAGCACCCGACAGCCTCCCTCCTTGCACCCACTCCTGAGTGTCCCTCCTCTTAGATCCGGGTGCCTGCCTTCCTGGACCTGTTCATGCAGTCGCTCTTCAAGCCAGGGGCCAAGATCAACCAGGACCATAAGCACAAGTACATCCACATCTTGGCCTATGCCGCGAGCGTGGTTGAGACCTGGAAGAAGGTACTGTCGGTGCTGAGAATGTGTGGGCCTCAGACAGACCGGGGGCCTCCGGGGCTTTGGTGCTGGGTGGGGAGCTGGGCTGCAGGAACTCTCAAGGCTGGCTGCCCAGCACTGGCAGTGTCTTCACCACTGTGCACGAAATACCGAAAGAGCTTGGGGCCTGCAGGAATTGTGTGGCACCTTTCACACTGGGACTGACGAGTGGGATGAATCTGACTCCCCTGAGCCTCCCAAGCAGCAGCCTATGATTCCTGGCCTCATGGGCTGTGTGACTATGCAGTTGGACAGTTGATTGACTTTTGACTCTGGACAGGGAAGGGGCCACACTCCCGTCCTCACTCACCAGCTTGTGTGCTTTCAGAACAAGCGGGTTAGCATTGGCAAAGACGAGCTGAAGTCCACGTCAAAGGCTATAGAAACTGTCCACAACCTGTGTTGTAATGAGAACAAAGGGGCCTCGGAGCTGGTAGCCGAGCTGAGCACACTCTATCAGTGCATTAGGTGAGTGTGACACTCCCCCAGCCGGTCCCCGCAGTGCCGAGTCCTCATGTTCCCGTGGTTAGACTGTGTGTGCTCATGTGGAGAAAGCGAGAAGAGCTTGGGTTTCTCATTCCTAAACATACGTGGAGAACTGTAAGCAGCTGTGGCAGCATGGGTGCTTTTCAGGTGCTTTTTGGCCAGAAAAATCTGTTCAGCAGACCCTCACAGAGTAAAGAAAGGACATCCAGAATTAGAAAAACTGAGTTAAAGAAGTGTTCATTTGTGGTAAAAATGTTAAGCCAACAAGCATTGTCTGGACAGAAGTGATTTGTGATTAAGTACATAAGTGTGTCTTGGGAACTGCAACCTCTTAGGCTCATTTCTTGGGGACCGAGAAAGGGTCTGAAATAAAAGTAACCGTGAGCCCGGGCCGCCAGGCGCCATGCTCTGCATTGATGATTGTTTCCTTTGTGATTAGCGGAGTGGTTTGAAGGAGCTGAGAATCAAATCCCTTGAGAGGAGCTGGTCTCATCAAACCACTTCCGCCATGAGCCGCTCCTGCAGGGCAGAGGGAAAGGAGTATCGTGTGTCCCCAGACTTGGTCTGTTCTTGCTTCCCGACCCTTTATTGCTCCTTGGTGTATTGCGGCCTCATTCCCCCACTCTTGGTCAAAGGAATCCTGTACCTTGTCTGCCTGTAGGTTTCCCGTAGTGGCGATGGGTGTCCTGAAGTGGGTAGACTGGACCGTGTCAGAGCCAAGGTACTTCCAGCTACAGACTGATCACACACCAGTTCACCTGGCTTTGCTGGATGAGGTAAGAGGGCGGGAGGACCACCTGAGAGGTACACAGTGGTCTGTGTCTTGGACCTTTGTCCCGATGTGAGGTTAGTAGATACTCTCTTTGGAGCTGGTGTTTGTGTCCCATGTGAGGCTATCCTTTTAAGGACCTGGTTTCAGTGACTGCAGATGTGTTTATCAAGTGTTATCAGAAGAGAGTCCTAGAAGCTGACAGGTGCTGTCCCCATCAGTGGTAAGCCACCTTGGGTGGCTGTGACAATCCTGTACATTCCCCGTGTGCTGCTAGTAAGCCCAGAGAGCCAGCAGGTGCCTCAGTGATGCGACTTTGGCTATCCACAGATCAGCACCTGCCACCAGCTCCTGCACCCCCAGGTTCTGCAGCTGCTTGTTAAGCTTTTTGAGACCGAACACTCTCAGCTAGACGTGATGGAGCAGGTGAGCTGTGTAGATGTAACCAACCGTCTTATTAAATAAGAAACACAGAGCCAATACAGAGATGAAAGCCAAGAGGTCAGAGCAATGGCTAAGAGCTAAAAATCTTACCCTTCACTGTCGCTGTTGCCCTACCTCTCCGAAAGAGACCCACTTCCTGTGTCTGTCTTTTTGTAGTGTTTCTGTTCTGCCTTCTCATTGGTTGTAAACCCAACCACATGACCTGCTAGTCACTGCCTGTCTGTATAGACCTCCAGGTCTTCTATGGTTGGTATTGAGACTAAAGTGTGTCTCCAATGCTGGCTGTATCCTTGAACTCACAGAGATCCGCCTAGCTCTGCCTCCCAAGAGCTGGGATTAAAGGCATGCGCCACCACCACCCAGCTTCTGCTAAGGCTTGCTATTAGCTCTGACCCCAGGCAACTTTATTTATTAACATACAAATAAAGTCACATTTCAGTACAAATAAAATATCACCATAGAGCTGAGTGTCAGGGCTAGGAGAGTGCCAGCTCTGATCTGCTCCTTTGACCCTGCTCTTCCACAGCTCGAGTTGAAAAAGACCCTGCTGGACAGGATGGTTCACCTGCTAAGCCGTGGCTATGTGCTTCCTGTGGTCAGTTACATCCGCAAATGTCTGGAGAAGCTGGACACTGACATCTCACTCATTCGCTACTTCGTCACTGAGGTCAGTGGCACCTGGGCTTCAGGGGTTACTCCTTCCACTAGCCCAGCCCTTCTGCCTTGACGTCATTCGTGTGGTTCTCAACTCTGAAACCCATGTTGACACTGATGATCTATTAAATACATCTCACCTGTGGGACCTCGGCTGTGTCCCCTGTCCTTGGAGTTGGAGGCTGGGGTGGCTCCAGAGAAGCCCCGGGGTAGGGAGGGCCATCTCACACTGCCTGCCACCTCACTGCCTGCTGTCAAGTGCCATGCCCCACACCAGCAGGTACAGTAACCCTGAGGTCGGTCTCCCTCACTAGGTTTTGGATGTCATCGCCCCGCCATATACCTCGGACTTTGTGCAACTTTTCCTCCCAATCTTGGAAAATGACAGCATTGCGGGCACCATCAAAGCAGAGGGCGAGCACGACCCTGTGACGGAGTTCATCGGTAAGGCTCCTAAACACCCTTTACCGTGACGGCCCGCCCCGCTCCTCACCCTTCTAACCCAGTGCCCGTGTTCCTGTACAGCGCATTGCAAGTCCAACTTCATCGTGGTGAACTGAGAGCATCCAGAGCTGAAGCAGAACCTGCTGGGCCCAGCTCAGGAGGACCAGAGACCTGGGTCAGGATGCTGCTTGTCAAGAGACTCAATCAGCCTCCATGAAGGAAGCGGGGTGTGCTGGGAGGGAGCAGGCAGCTTTTCTTAAAAGGACTGTGTTCACTGTGCCCAGGAGAAGCCACTAATGGTGGGCAGCCCCCTCTTTGTTGTCAGTGTGGTCCTGCACCACGTCACATGCAGGAGTCAGGTGTATGCACCCCCAGGAAGGAACCCAGTAGGCCTCGGGGTAGTGAGGATCCAGCAGCTGGGACACTTCCATGAATCACCCTTAGGGTTTTTATGTAAGTTTTCTACCAATGACCCAGGTGGTTGGTTGTTTTATTGTTTCAATTTGCCAAGAGCAATGATGGGTTGAGCTGTGCGTGTCCTCCTATGCTGTTCCCATGTAAATAAAGCACACAGGCTCAGTGCCTGGGGGGAAGCCAGTCACTTTATTCATCACTTAAGTAATTTAGAATTGTTTCCCTCTCCCTTGGATTCCAGCGTGACATCAGAACTGTTCTTGACCATGCTGTCTTCTCCAGGTGGCTGAAGGCAGGATGAGATGTGGTCCCCCTTACATCTCTTCTTGGGTTGGCTTCTGCAGTCCACACACTCTGGTCCTCGTGTCCACAGCACTGCTTCTAGCTGTCCAGTGTCCATAGTCACCCCATCCCTATCATGGTTACAGTGTTGCGTCTAGAGACGTCTACTTAAACAATGGGGTCCCCATATGTGCAGGCCTCCTCGATGGCGAGGTTGTAGCTGGCACCTACCCCTCCCTTGTAGGTGCTGGTCACGATCCTCATCCAGCCCCTCTCACCCTGTAAGAAGCAAGAACGTGGCATTAGTGCCTCGGGACACATTCCTCTGCTCACCCCTCTGTTTTGCAGACCCAGGCCCTGCCCTGTAAAACCTGCGAGTCCAGACAAAGCTCTGTGACTCAGTCCTCTCGGTCAGTACTTAACCATGAGTGTTTCCCTGTTAAGACCCCACTTGTGGCCATTTAGTAGACATGGCCGACACCGCATCACTTCAGCGTCTTCCCCTTGGCCCTGTTTCAGAGTGTTCCTGTGCCTGGAATGGTTAACAGTTAACACTGTGTCCTAAAAACCACAACCTGCAGTTTTCCTCCCCTGGACTTCTGACCTAACTCAAAAGTATTCCTGAAAAAATGTGGCCGATCACCATCATCAGGACCACTTGGCCCCAGCCTTGGCTGTGGAGTAGTTGGGTTGCTCAGGCTGGGGTTTGGGGAGGAACTCGGGATGCAGAATACTCAGAGATGCACAGGGCAGCAGTAGCCCTGCACAGCTCAGACCCCAGAAGTAGCTTATGTTCTGATGAGAAAGCTGGAGCTAGCCCTTGCTCAGCTGCTGGGGAGAGGTGTGGACTCTGATCTGACCCTAAGAAAGGGAAACTGTCTTACCCAGGGTTCGCCCCACGAATTGCGGACAATCCAGTACTCAATCCCATCACTGCTAACACCCCAGCCAGCCACGGAGATGATGTGGTTGATAAAGGTCTGGTCCTGATGCTCAGCATAGATGCCTCCGGAATAGTTAGCCATCTTCTCTGTTACCATTATCCCGCAGCTGTGAAAAACCATCGGTCAGTAATGCGGGAAGCACATCCGCACTTGTGGGTGGCACTTGGGTCACAGTAATCTGAGTCCTGCGGTAGTGATCCCACCAACATTCCAGACTCACCACAGCCAGGCGCTTCTCTACCTAACTTACACAAAGCTCCCTGGAGCAAGCAGACTGGCTAATAGCTCAGGTTTACTTCTGTAAAGCCAACATCTGTACAGGCAAAGAGGGTTATGTGGTGCTCAAGCTAGGGGATCAAACTGCCAGGTGGGAAGGGTGAACAAGACACAGTTGCATGCATGTGTACAGACCCGGATGTGGTCTCACTGAGGACCTCTCGCTCACCTGATGGGACCATTGGCGTAGATCTCTGCCATCATCTTCTCCCTACCTGAGAGGGAGCCATAGTCACCCACTCTCCAGAGGGTGTAATTCTGGATGGTGTGACACTCCTTGAATTCGGTGCAGGTTCCACACTGGTTAAACTTGTCACAGTCTAGAACACAAGTCAGCATGACACTGTCCCCTCATTAACCCACTAATGAAGCCTACCCCATTCTCTCCACTTTCTAATTTAGCCTGGCATTCATTAGCTGATAGCGGAGGCCATCCCGCTCTCAGGTGCCGTTTAATTACGCGCTCCTCTCAACTGCAAGGAGTGGTGAAAAGCCTCCCCCGGGCTGTGGCAGAACAGAAAGAACAGACTTTGATTAGTACATAGTAGGCACTCTGAAGTTGCCCTTCTCCTCTGCTGTAAAGGCTGGGAGGAGGACCTCACAGCATGCTGTAATTGAAAAACGAGTGCAATCACACTATTAAAATGTAACCAGATGATTCCACCGCTGGCTAGTGACTAAATAGGCCAATACACTTGATTTAAAGAAATGCATCCTCTTGGCTTCAGAAATATCAGAAATATCAGAATTCGGGTTACAGGAATAGCCAAAGCAATCCTAAGGAGCAAGACCATTGTTTGAGGCGTCTCAGTACCTGACCTCAAATTGCACTACAGAGCTAGAGTGACAAAGACTGGTGCTGGCGTAGAAACAGCCAGACAGGCAGACAAGATAGAACCTGGGAATACCTGACAAAGCTATGCCCCTGAATTCATGACAAAAGAGGCATATATTGGAAAAAGCCTATTTAACTAATGGTGCTGGGAAAACTGCATATCCACCTAAGAAAAATAGAATTAGATTTGTACCTTTCATCCTGTACCAAATCCATTCACATTGGATCAAAGACCTTAATTTAAAACCCGAAACACAAAGTTCTAGACAAAAATATAGGGCATACCCCTCAAGATATTAGGGTAGGCTAGAACTTTCTGAATAGAACACCATAGCATAGGAATTAGCCCCAAATAACAGATGAGACCACTGGAAAAGAAAATGTTTCTGTACAGCAAAGGAAACACTCAGCAGAACACAAAGCCCACAGGAGAAAATCTTTACCAGCCCAACTTCAGAGGAGGGGTTGATACCCAGAGTTTACAAAGAACTACAGACTAAATACCAAGGAAGTAAGACTGCCAATCAACAAATGCTGTGGGCTGGAGAGATGGCTCAGAGGTTAAGAGCACCGACTGCTCTTCCAGAGGACCCCGGTTCAATTCCCAGCACCCACATGGTGGCTCACAACCATCTGTAATGAGATCTGGCTACACAGAGAAACCCTGTCTTAAAAAAAAAAAAAAAGGATTTTTTTTTTTGGAAAAAAGGAACCCTTATTCACTGCTGGTGGGGGTGCAAATTAATACAGCCATTATGGAAATCAGCTTGGAGATTCCTCAAAAATTAAAAACAGAACTACTATATGACCCAGCTGTTACACCCCTGCACATAAACCATGAGAACGCCATCCCCACCATGGTGACACTTGCACGTCCATGTTTATTGCTGCTTTATTCACTGCAGCAAAGAATCGGAATCAAACTAGTTGTTCATCAACAGGAGTGGATAATGAAAACGTGGCACATATAAAACTCAAATACTATTCTGAAGAAAAACGAAAGCACAAAATTTGCACAAAAAATGAATGGACTTAGCATTTATTATTTTAAGCAAAGACCCAAACTCAGAAAGAAAAAACAAAACAGTTCACCTTCAAATGCAGATCCTAGCCCATAATGTATTCAGGTATGCAAATAAACAAATGCACATGTGTACAACATGTGGAAAGACAAGAAAGAATTTAAAAAGGGCAAAATGCTTGCTAGTGGCATCATATCTATAAGACATTTTGTTTAAGTCCTTTGAATGTCCTTTCAAGGAATCACACATTTGTTTTTTGTTTTTGTTTTTTTCTTTTTCGTTTTTTCAAGACAGTTTTTCTGTGTAGCCCTGGCTGTCCTGGAACTCACTCTGTAGACAAGGATGGCCTTGAACTCACAGAGATCCTCCTGCCTCTGCCTCCTGAGTGCTGGGCGTGTGCCACCACCACCAGGTGGAATCATACATTTTAAATACAAAAATGTGCCCTTGATAGGCAGCATCCTCATGTGATTTCATAAGGGGCCATTGCCTCACTGGGGGATCTGAATTGTAAATTTTATTTTGTATTGAACACTCCTGTAGGGCATAGTTCTTTTATTTAATGAATACCAAACTTGTATTCATTAAACAAGAATTTTAGTTGTCCAAATAACAGAATGAGAAAGTTGCTAAAAGTATGTTGATAGCTGGGCGGTGGTGGTGCACACCTTTAATCCCAGCACTTGGGAAATAGAGGCAGGCAGATCTCTGAGTTCCAGGCCAGCCTGGTCTACAAAGTGAGTCCAGGACAGCCAAGGCTGTTACACAGAGAAGCCCTGTCTTGAAAAAACAAAACAAAAACAAAAAAGTTGATAATAATCCTAATTTTATTTATGAGAATGCCTGGGAATAGTGATTTATTGTACCAGAATCTCAAAGAGTAATATGCTAGGAAGTTGGAAATACTCAGAAACCTGCCATTTTTCCACTGTATGTTATAATTTTAAAATGTATCACTGTTGCTGAATAAATGAACTTGGTTTTTAAAAATGAAGGAAAAAAAAAAAAGAATTAGGTTTAAGGACTGGGGAAATGCATCAGTAAAGTGCCTGCCATGGCAAACTTGAGGGCCTGAGCTTGGATGCTCGTGAAGTGCCCACATAAAGTCAGCCTGGTGGTGCTTGTCTGTAATCCCAGCCCTGGCTGGTGAAGTCTTGTGGCTCTCTGAAGTCTGCTTGCCAGTCAGGTTAGCAAAATGGATGTGCTCCAGGCTCAGTGAGAGAACGAGGTGGAGCGTGACGGAGGAAGACACCCCTGAGGCTGACCTCTGTGTTGTAACTATACATCTGTCCAGACCCTTCCGAGAGGACAATAAACTTCTTGAGGATTACATCATCAGTTCCATTTGTCTCTCAGACACCAGTGCTCAGTGTGAGGTACACCAGGAACATGGCGGCCCAGGGGCCACATCTGTTCCTACAGACAGAGACTGATGAGTGGTTCTAATGAACCCAACCACCTGTGAGTCTGGGGAGGACCAGAGGGACCTAGCTTCAGCTGGATGACACCAGTTTGGGGTGGAGGAGGAAGGATAAGGCCCCAGGGTCATTTCACAAAGCAGTCCTCTGCCTTCCCTGCACCCTGCATCTGTTCCCCTGGCGGGGTCTCTGTCACTTCTGGGTTTACCCATCCTTGACAAAAGACTCACCCAATCAGGCCAGAGAATTCTTTCAATTCTTGGTGGTGAGGCAGCAAGGTCTATGAGGTAGGCAAGGGAACACCATCCACACGGTGGTGAAGAGCGGCCAAGTGCCCTCCAAACCTGAGTCCCTCACAGCATCCTGTTGCAGCCATGAGGGAGGTCTAAGGATCAAAGCTTACAGCCACAAAGGATGGATTTGGGTCCAGGAGTTTCCTTTTCTTTGGTTTCCATAGAAAGTAGCCCCAAAGGGGTGTACCAACCATGGATTTCTGGGCCAGACTGCTCTGCCCATTCATGATCTGTCCAGGACTGCTGGGGCAGGAACCAGGCTGGTGCTACATTTCAGCTGGGCAGGCTAACGGCAGCTCAGAAAGCATCCACCTGCTCTCAGCTCCAGATCGTGGGAAAGGGACGCTTCCTTCCATCAGCTGCTTACCTGTACCGCCCCCTTATAAAAGGCCCATAGAACCATCCAAATGCCATGTATGAGAACACACACACCATATCCAATCCTGGCTATAGGGGTGTTGCTCTGCTTATGTATTTATTATCAATCCTGGAGACTGAGCCTAGGTCCTCATGTATGGCAGGCAAATGCTCTCTCATTGAGCTACATCCCTAGTCTGGAGTGCTGTTCTTCTGGTTTATCTCCATGATGAACTCAACAACTCAACCATGGGCTCCAACTTTCTGTTATCCTAACGCTAACCCACCAGGTTCAGAGTGGCATCAGATAACCCTGGTGTCCGTGCCAGGAACCACCCAGCTCTTCCTGGGGGCTTCAGTCTTCACCCCCACAGCATCCCAGCCACAGTATGACAGACGTGGCATACATGGGCTCTCAGCTACTTTCTCGGAAGAGGAACATAAAGGTGTACAGCAATGTGGGAGCCCGGGCAGAGCCTACCTTGGTCTTTGGCCTGGTAGTTGTTGCAGGTCTCATCGGGGATGCCGTGCTTATGAGCATAGGCCCACACCGGGAGGTCGTTGCCTCCCTCACAGGAGCCAGCATTGCCGCAGTCGATGACGTTCTGCACTGAAAGCAGGGTGGAGGGCCACGCGCCTTTCCTCTTGATGTTGATGCGGTCTGCAACAGTCAGCACCCTGGTCAGCACCACCCAATCTCCCCACAGGCCACAGGGTTCTGCCCACTGGTTCTTCTATTGTGGGGGCCTCAGCTCAACTGTGGCTTCAAAACCATGCTCTGGTCTTCCTTGGGCACCATGATGTCTATGTCTGCAAGTGTCATGAGGCAGGGCCAGATCTGGAAGTCCCAAGAAGCACCTGCCAGGGCACCACTACAGGATGGCAACAAGACCACTTGTGTAAGGAGGCTAGAGACCAGATACAGAAGGCTGGTGTGGGCATCCCCAGGGAAAGGCACAGCCTAGGGAGCCAGATGAGTCCCAGTGAGGGCCAGACATCAGAGCTCAGTGCTCATGTGCTAGGCCCACACACTAAGGGGCAGCTAGAATCATCACAGCATCCACTAGGGGATAGTGACCTGCATCCTGAAAGACCACCTTGCTCTTCACTCTCAAGCTCTCCACACAACACACACCAGCCACGCCCCCCAGGCCTTGTCTCCTCCAGCCTCCTCCACTCACTCCTCCCCTGAAGCCAAAGTCTATCTTTGTTTTCCCTCCATCCTATGGACTTCAGCTCTGAGTCACCTCCCACACTCTCTTCCACTCTAGTCCTGCTCCACAAGGCTGCCATCTAACAGCACAGAACCTTCTAGAACCAGCCCTCATACCCTGCACACACACACTTGATGACCTCAGAGAGCATATCACTGAAAAACTCAAAAGCAGACCTTGTCTTATCACCATTTAGACCCCTTTCTATGCCCAGAATGTACTTCCTGTGCCAACGACAGGCAGGCTCCCAGCTGCCCAAGGCACATGGGCCCATCTCCTGTCTCCTTACCCCAGCTTGGCTCCCTATAGCCTTTCCCGGGCACATCCCCAGCAACAGTTCACCTCTCAATGAGGGGCATCCTCAAGCCCACAGACCTGCCTTCTCCAGAGTCCAACCCAAGGCCCCAGGACTTTATGCCTTGCCTCAGCAGCATGAGGTGGGATCCACACTGTCTGTATATCTCTCTTTGGCGGCCCAAGCTGCTCTTGTCCAGGTCCCTATCTCGACACCACCCATCCATCCCAACCCCTCTCCACCCTCATCTGACTGCCTCTTCCAGAGGGTCAGCAGAGGGGCCACTCCAGCCTTCTGGAAGTACCTGGGATGTCTCTTCTGCATTCAGCCCTAGCAGTGTGTTTCTTAAGGCCTTCTGAGAGCCCTTTCCTCCTCTTCCCAGGTCTTTCCCTTCTGGTGACCTCAGCTAAGGCCTGATGGCAGTGACTGGCTGGATAGCCTCAGGCCTGGCGTCTTCTACATTTGACGTAATGTCTAGTTTCAACCTGACCAACTACCTGGCTCCAGAATTTGCAGGCTTCTTGAGATGACCTTTCTACACAATCTACCCTGCCTCTTCTGACTTGGCTTCCTTTTCATTATCAGATTTCCATTCACACCTTCTGTGTGCTGAGCACTGTTCAAGCCATAGAAGCAAGCCAGCAAGGGCAAGCTCTGCTCTGTGGACTTGTGCCACGGCACAGGAGAAGGCAATGGGCAAGCAGAACAGTACAGCAAGGAGATGTTCTGGGGAACATCCAGGGGCTAAGGTATCATGTACACAGGGCAGCCTGGGAGAAGGCCTACTGTGGTTTGAATGAGAATGGCCCCCATCTTCTCACATATATGAATGCTTGGTCTCTTGTTGGTGAACTGTTGGGGAAGGATTAGGATATGTGGCCTTGTTGGAGGAGATGTATCACCAGCCGGTTGGTGGTGCAGCAGCAGCAGCAGCAGCAGCAGCAGCAGCAGCAGCAGCAGCAACAGCAGCAGCAGCAGCAGCAGCAGCCCACGCCTTTAATCCCAGCACTTGGGAGGCAGAGGAAGGCAGATCTCTGTGAGTTCAAGGCCAGCCTGGGCTACAGAGTGAGTTCCAGGAAAGGAGCAAAGCTACACAGAGAAACCTTATCTTGAGAAAACCAAAATAAAAAACAAAAACAAAAACAAAAAAACCCCACACAAATCCTTCAAACACTCCTCCACTGTTGGTGGGAATGTAAACTTGTACAACCACTGTGGAAATCAGTATGGCGGTTTCTCAGAAAATTGGGAATCGATCTACCTCAATACCCAGCCATACCACTCTTGGGCATATACCCAAGGAATGTTCAATCATACCACAAAGATACATGCTCAACTATGTTCATAGCAGCACTATTTGTAATAGCCAAAACCTGGAAACAACCTAGATGCCTGTCAACTGAAGAATGGATTAAGAAAATGTGGTACATATACACAATGGAGTGCTACTCAGCAGAGAAAAGCAACGATAGCATGAAATTTGCAGGCAAATGGATGGAACTAGAAGATATCATCCTGAGTGAGGTAACCCAAACCCAGAAGGACAAACATGGTATGTACTCACTCATAAGTGGATTCTAGATATGAAGCAAAGAACAATCAGACTGCAAACCACAGAAGCAGGGAAGCTATATGGCAGGGGGGGACCCTAGAATGACTGTGGCTTAGAATAAGTTTTGGTTTTACTATAACTAACTAAATAAATAAATAAATAAAAAAATAAAAAAATAAGTTGTTAAAAAAGAAAGAAAAGAAAAAAAAACAAAATAAAAAAATAAAAAGCCCACATCAAGCCCAGGTCTCTGCCTCATGTTTGTGGATCAGATGCCTCAACTACTGTTCCAGTGCCATGTCCGCTGCCATGTTCTCCACCATGATGGTCATGGACTCACCCTCACCCTCTGAAACTCTAAGCAAGTCCCAATTAAATGTTTTCTCAGTTGCCTTAGTCATGGTGTCTCTTCACAGCAAGAGAACAGCAACTAAGATGCCATCCAAGGAGAGAAGTGTGAGGACATGAGGAGAAGAGCAACTTGCAAAAGAAGGTACCTATGCCTCACCTGCTGGTGTGAGGACAAGATGGAGGAGGAGCCAGACTGCAGGCTTCCGAGGTCAGAGAAGGACCTTGTCATTGGTCTAAGTGGAATCCTGAGATGGTGTCAAATAAAGAAATGCGACGGAACTCAGGTTTAACAGACTTATTCTGGGAATCTCTTCTCTGAGACCAGAGAGGAGCAGGGTGCTGGAGAGACACCACCTAGTTCCTTCATTAGACTGGTGGACAACCAAAGGACCCGTGACCGGTTTGTAGGAGCAACACAAGATGAGAGTCAGATAACCTCTAAGCTTCTCCTGAGTATCCTCAGGGCGAGGATGGGGTGTTGGTGGGTAAGACAGCAAGGATGGCCTGAATGTCTGGGGCCAGCGGATGGGAGCGGATGGGCTCAAAAGCGAGTCTGGGGAAAGGCCACACTGGGAACAGAAGTCAGATGTGTGGGCAGTGAGGAAGGAGGTAGGGAGGCAGAGACAGGGAGTGTGAGACAGCGAGGGTCCGACTTCACCCAGTGGAGGAGGCCGGGGTACACTGACTCCTGAGTCTCGAAAGATGACAAAGGGTGGAGTGGAACTGAGGCAGATGAAGGCCCCAGGGCAGAGAAGAGGAAGCGGGAGGCCCCAGAACACCCAACAGGAGCAAGCAATGGGATGGTCACCTACTGGAAGTGACCGATGAAGGGATAAAGATGACCTCCAGTGATGAGGACAGGTGACCTCATAGAGAGAAGCGTGGATGTTTAGCCACCCAGAGATGGCCAGAGGCAAACTGGTTCCACCGCTGCCCCGCTGGCACTTGGCCAGGGCCCTGTGGAAGTCCCCTTTTGGTGTCTGCTCAGAGAAAGAGGAAGTAAGGCCTTGCCTACTACTGAAGAAGATGTCAGAGATTTAGGAAGAAAGGATGAAGCAGCCATTTTCCCCGAGACACTCCACTCTAGTAACGGGAAGGTGCACCCTCAGCAGGGTCTCGCATCCACCTAAGAGGTCCACGCCCACCAGCCCCCAGCCATCCTCCCTACCCTGCATCGTTCTGCACCCTCCTCAGGCACCACAGACCTGCTGACCTGTTCTGCTCCCCGTCACCCTCACCCCGCCCTGTGCTCTGCTGAGAAGGTCTTTTCACTTCCCCAACGCCAGCCCGCGACCCCATTCCTAAGTGCTCCGGACTTTGCTCTGGTCCTCCGCTACGGCCTTCCCCACACGCCCTGCCTACCTGACGAGCACCTCTTGACCTTCCCACACTGAAGCTTCTCGGGCCTCTTTCCTTCTGCCTCCTTCTCGGGGGTTGGCAGTGCATCCCAGACCCCAGAGGTGACTCCACAACGTGACACAGCTACACCTGGCTAGCTCTGGGGTACCGACTGCACCCTCAGTCGGGAAACCCTCACCCTAAAGAGAGTGTGCAAGCTGATGGGCGAAACCCCAGCTGTCACTCATTTCACAATGGAGTCTGGGAACTGAGAGCCAACTGGCAGGCAACAGGACTACATAAGCCCTGCAGGCGTGGGTGCTGCCATTAAACCGTTACTAATTCTCAACCTAGGCTCCACCTACAGCAGGCCAGGCCAGAAAGATACCAAATCAAGAGAGAGGACACTGCCTGTCACACTCCCGCCAGGAGAGTCCCTTCCCAGGGGCTTCCAGGGCCCACCTCTGCAGATGGCAAAACTGAGTCTACATGCTCGAGGCTGAATGGCACTTCCTGGCTCCTGCTTCCTCTACCAAGGAAGGGCAGGCACAGCAGCCCTCTGTGCAGACCTCAGTGGGGTTCTCTCTTCCTCCTGCACCTTCTTCTTGCCCCTGTGGTGGCCAGGCTAAGATTTAAGGGAGAGAGCTGGCCATTTCAAGCTGGGGACCGTCAATCCCAAATACCAACTGCCGGTGAGAAGCAGTTTCACTTCCGTGACCCAATGCAGGCCGTCAGCTCGGTGATTTTGCAATGCTGCTTCCATCTCGGTGGCTGAAGTCACAAGTTCTGGGGGAGGGGGATACCCAGGAGCCACTTGTCACAGGGTTCCAGTCCAAGCCTGTTCCACAGAGGCCCTAAGTGGGCCCACAGGACAGAAGTCCAGAATGACACAGTCACATCACTCTGGCAGAGGAAAAAAACCCAGCCTGAATCCTGGTACAGATTCGCAGGGCCCTGGAGCCCTGGGCTGTGGCTATCATGGCTCACCTAGAGGCAGCTCCGATGGTGAAGGGCAGCCACCCGCCCTGTCGGGGCCCTGCCCTGAGCTTATCCTGGAGCCCCAGGCCACCCACCTGCCATGGCACTGGTGCTACCGTGGGCCCAGCAGGAGCCACAGTACTGTGGGATGTGCTGGTTCCTGGTGACGCTGACGTAGTTGACACCATCCACATTTCTCCAGTCCCAGGACTTGGGGAGATCCGAGGGGGACAGGTACTCATGCGGCCGAGGGTAGGTCCTGGGAAGAGGTTACCATGATGAAAATCAACCCCGGAACACCTGGGGCCTCCCCTCCCCCACCGGGGCCACAGACCCAGGCAGTCCTCCTGGGACCTTCTTCCCTTTCCCCAAATGTGGGAGTTTCAGAGCTTGTCCCTTCCATCACCAGAAGGGCCACCAGCAGAACTCAGCACTATTGGAGGCTGACGGTGACAGGGCATCTCTGAAATACCCTAGTGCCCACCAACTAAGGCCAGAGAGGTAAGGATTGCGCAATCCAGCAAACACCAAAGCTCTCCGGATGTGAAAGTCATCCCCAAAGGAAGGGATGAGATTTCCCAGGCCTAAGGAGGCAGGGTGCCCAGAGAGAAGCAAGGTCCCGGGTGGCAGGGGGCGCGCGCCTGGCCCAGAAGTGTGCCCTCTTCCTCCCCAGACACAGCCCGGCGCCCACCTTCGCCCCAGCTGGGCCAGCTGGTCCCCGCGCAGGGGCCTGTAGCAAGTCTGGCCCGGGCGGAAGTAGAGACTGGCCCGCGCCGCGCCCGCCAGCAACAGCATCAGCAGCACCAGCCGCGGCTGCTGCACAGACCCCGACGACGCCATGCTCCTGCTCCTGGCCTAATTGGATCCTGGATCACGCGCCGCACCTTCGACCCCTTGACCTGACCTGAAGACCCACGCGCTCCGGCCGCCCCGCCCGGTCCTTTAGGAGGCGCCCTAGTTGGACACACCCCGGGGGCGGGGCCTTCCCGCTGCTCCTGCCCCGGCCCCGCCCGACAGCCCCCAGGGCAGAATCTACTCCCCAGGGATCAGCCTGATCAGCAGAACTTGGGGCCATGAAGGAGGTCCTACAACCAGACCCTGGATCTGACAATGTCACCGGCCACTGTGATCGCTTGGACTGACTGAGCACAAACTTAAAGAGACCCAGGCATTCCGAAGCAGGATAGGGCTCTGCAGGCTTCCATGGCCCACCCAGCCCAAGATTCTTCTGTCTCCCAGTTGGGGAGTGATGATGCAGTTTTAGGCTAGACCTAGAAACACACAGAGATTCTGCGAATCCCGAAGAACGAGGTATGGGTCATCCCAGTCTGGACCCTAGCCTGACTTTCTGAATCCCACTCCCCCAAAGGTTCAGGCTCTTCTTCACAGAGAGGGAAGGCATGATCCTTCTAGAATTATTCTTAAGGGAAATGTTCACTTGGCACATACATCGTGAGCCCCTGGGGTTCTGGCAAAGGGTCCCCGTAGCCGGATTCTTCCAAGATGAGGAACCGAGGAAGAAGTGGAAGCAGGGTCTGGGTTTTGTAATTGAAGAATTTCCCTTTCCTCCTGTGCCCTATGAGTTATAGTCAACAGCCCCAGGCCACAAAGCCATCTCCTCTTTTCTAAGAAAAATCTGCTAGGATTTTAGCTCAGGATCTCTCCAGACAGTGGCTGTCGGGTTCCCAGCGGCCAGCCATGACACCCCCGTTCCTCTGCTTGGAGGCAGTCAGAAATCAAAATGGCTGCTTTGCTGCCTGCCTTTCCAGATCATCAAGAATTCCAGCAGGACTTAGAAAGAAGCCTGCTGGATACCAGAGCAGAACAAGGTCTCACAGGCAAACTCGGGGCTCCCCCTGAACAACACCGGAGTTTGGGTCCCTGTCCCTATAAAGTGGTCATTAAGGCAAAGTGTGGATACTGAGATCAGTCTGTTGATATCTTTCATCTTGGGGAGTCATGATAACGTTCCTCCTCCTCCAGGTGACAGGCAGGATGGTATAAATGAGGCCCACTCAAGACCCAGCCAGAATCACTCCAGTCTGAACCCCCTAAGGCAGTTCTCCCCAATGTATTGACCATGTATTGACCTCCCAGCCCTGAGATCCACTCTGATGGAGGGAGGAGGAAATGCCATCTCTCACATTGGTTCCACGTGGGTTCTGTCTTGCCTCCATGACAGAAGGAGACCCCAGATTCTCACAGGAGTGGGAAAGTCAGTCTTGGTGATTCGATGATGTCATTCAGGTAAGGTCTTCTGAATTGGGAAGGGATTGTTGCCCCGGAAGAAAACAACAGAGGTTAGAGATATAATTCAACAGGAGAGTATGTACTTAGCATGCTCAAGGACCCAAATTCAATTCCTGGCACAAATAATGAGTAAAATAAATGAATAAATTAAAAAATAAAGACTTATTTTGATTTTATGTGCATTGGTGTTTTGCCATGGCTGCTGGGTTCCCCGGAACTGGAGTTACAGAGAGTTGTGAGCTGCTGTGTGGGTGCTGGGAATTGAACCCAGGTCTTCTGGAAGAGCAGTCAGTGCTCTTAACCACTCAGCCATCTCTCTAGCTCAAGACCTACTTTTAATAATGTGTGTGTGTCTATGTGTTCTATGTGCATGTGAGTGCAGGTGTCCTTGGAGGTCAGAAGAACATGCCTAGCACCATGGAGGTGCAGTTACAGGCAGTTATGAGCTAACAGATGTGGGTAATGAGACCCCAACGCTGGTCATCTGGAAGAGCAGTCTGTGCCCTCAACCTCTGAACTAATTAATTAATTAATTAATTAATTAATTAATTAATTAATTAAGAGAAAAGAAGGAAGGGAGCAAGCAAGCAAGCTGAAAACACTGTCTGTGAGCGGCAGAGGTTGCCATCATCCCCCGGAAGGCAGCCAGGGTCTTGATGGTGCAAAGTCCACCCCCACATTCCAAGGCACTGCAATCAGCTTGGAGTTATCGGGCAGGCAGGCCTAGAGCTGAACTCCCGTGCTTACAGGCCTCACAATGCTGTAGGCACACACCCTCAACTTATCAGCTCTTCTGGCCACGTGATGTCAGCAGCCCTGGGGTGCCGTGAGCATGCCCTGGCATTGTCACAGTACCCCACTGCACTTAGAAGCTGCCATGAGGACATGGGACTCCGCAGTCTTGCAGGGCCCCAAGCTTGAGAGGGCTCACTTTTCCCTGGCCCCAGAAAATTGAACAGCGGGTATGTTGATCGTGGTGTCATTTGCCTGGCCTGCGGGAAGTCACAGAGGCTAACGGGCACCCAGGGTCTTGTCCTCTAAGCCTTGTCACAGGTTTTCTCACTAAATGCTGCGTAAAGGGGTGTGGGTAGGAGCTGCAAGATTACAGGCTAGTGAGGTGTCGCACCCCAGATAGTTGAGCTGAAGCTCCTCAGAGCTTCCCTAAGACAGAACTCAGGAGGTGATGAAAAGAGAGGTAAGTTAGAGAGAAGGGGGGCGGAGCTCAAGATTTTCAAGCCAAGAAGGAAATGGGGCCGTGACTCACTCCCTGTATGTTATTTCAGCCCCTTGTGATGGGTCAGACTTGGCACAGCCGAGCTGCCAGGGCTCTTCACCTCGAAGTCTGGTGCCAATTGGGTGGTAGGTAACCGCCCTGCACCTGCAGTCAGACCCTACCGGCCGCCCTGCTCTGTCATTTTCTAAGTCCATGCTAGGAGAACCCTTCCCACAGTTCTTTGTTGTTTTTGGTGCATGTATCTGTGTCCTGTTGCAGGGACAGCCACCGATCAATCAAAACTCCATTTACTGCTGCTGCTCCTGAAGGGCCTTAGTGTTCTCTGAAGGGCACATGCATAAAGGGACATGGCTGCTCGGACCTGGGAGGTGTGGGGCATGTGATCTGCCTCTGCCTTGGTCCCATGCACACTGGAGGCTGAGTTCATCCCTGTGGTAGTCTCTCTCTCAAAGCACTGGCCCGGCAGCACGGAGCCACAGCCTGAAAGGTGTGTCCCCTTTTGACATCACCTCAGGTGTCAAGGAGGTCATTTTCAGGGTAGTGACTCATCTTCTGATCTGAGCCTGAAAGGAAGAAGCTCGGGCAGGGCCTGCACCTTCCTGCCTTGGAGGCCCTACTTACCCACGTGTTGCTTCTAGCAGCTGTTTTATGAGCAGCCGTGTGTCTCTGCCACCCAGGCTTGGGGCACAGTCAAGCAGGTGTTCATGAACTGGGCATGTCTCCGGAAACTACTATACAGTTCTTTGCCTGAGTGACTGGCTGTGTGCCCTGGGTTGTTCTCAGAGGGAACTGAATCATTCTAGTTCCAGGTGTTGCTGGAGCAGGTAACTTAGTCCTTCAATTCTTCTTCCTTTCCCGAATGGGAAGGGGTAGATACATGTGGGAGGATGGCACTTCCAGTGAGGTCAGGACTTAGCATGAGGCTTGAGGGTGCAGATCTGAATCTGAGGGGGTTTTTTTGTTGTTGTTTTTTTTAAATATTCCATAAAGTCTCCTGGCAAACACATGATCCAAGGCCACAGACACAAAAGACTATTCATTTCTAAAAATAAGGTTGATTTTCCCCTCGTCCTAATAAAGAACAACATGCATATTTTTGAGTTAGGCCAGGGTCAACCCACCTTCCTAACCCACTGGGAGTGTGGACTAGAGTTCGCGCATGGTGGAGTGGCCTCAGGATCTCTTCTCTCCTTCTTCCTTTGTGCGGTATTGTCTGGCTCCCACCCTGGCGAGCTGCAGACATTTCCTATTATTGCACATTCCTGAGTGGGGCCACATCCTGGAGACAGCGTTTGTTTTGATGGTTGCTGACAGTGTTCCAGAAGCAGACTGGTTTTGCAGGGCACCATGGCTTCCTCACCAGCCACAGGCCTCCTCTTTATTCTCTCGGTCAATGGCCAGAAGCCTGTGTTAACTCACAGACATCCAGGCCAAGAAGGCCTTCTGATCCGGCGGTTCAGCTTTGTCATGGACCCTGCCACTGTCCCCAAGACCATCTTGCTTCATATCCTGACCTGCTGTCGGCACGTGCTTGCCATGAAAGCAGCTTCCTGGAGTCATGTTCATGAGGTTGGCTTCAAGGCCATTATTCCGGAACATGCTCCCTGCAGCCGGGCACCTAATATATGAATAGCTGATACAGGAATCCACCCTTGAGATCTTTCAAAGGGGCACTTTATCTTTTGTGGGATAGAAGTCACTTGCCCTCTAAAGGTGGGACACCAGAACCTATTTGGTGACTCTCTTTTTTTCTTTCTTTTTTTATTTCCGAGACAGGGTTTCTCTGTGTAGCTTTGCGCCTTTCCTGAAACTTGCTTTGGAGACCTGGCTGGCCTTGAACCGCGACCCCCACCACCTGGGCTGGCACATAGTAAGAGTCACCTTAGCCGGGCGGTGGTGGTGTACACCTTTAATCCCAGCACTCGGGAGGCAGAGGCAGGTGGATCTCTGAGTTCGAGGCCAGCATGGTCTACAGAGCGAGATCCAAGAAAGGCGCAAAGCTATGCAGAGAAACCCTGTCTCGAAAAACCAAAAAAGAAAAAAGAAAAGGTAGGCCGGGTGGTGGTGGTGCACACCTTTAATCCCAGCACTCAAAACTCTCTGTGGGTTCAAGGCCAGCCTGGTCTACTGAGTGAGTTCCAAGACAGCCAGGGCTATTTCACAGAGAAGCCCTGTCTCAATAAACCAAAACAAACAAACAAACGAAAGTAAGGTAGATGGCACCTGACCTCTACACATCATCTATTCGTGCACACACACTCATACCATACACACACACACACACACACACACACACACACACACACACACGGAGGGTAGCTGAAAGACTGGGGTCTTCTGCAATCATTTTCTTATCCTATGATCTGAGATTCAGTGATGAGGCCATAGCCACCAGCTCTTCTGGAGGGAGACTGATGAAAAGGGAACAGTGTGTGTGTCCAGGCCTTGGTGCATGGAAACAGCTGGCAGCTGTCATAAAGCAGAAGATGCTTGGGAGA